TGTAATACTGTTTCCGGGTCCAAGCCGCCATTCATTTGAGTGGAGAAATCATTTGTTTATGATCGCGTTTGATTCCTATCACACATTAAAGTTAATTTTACATAAAGTCATAATGTACACAACAATCTCTGGGCTTGCTGCATAACAAATACCAAAATTTTAACAATTTATAAAACAATGAATCACTTTCTGGCCATCGGATATTAGGCATGGACATATAAATTCCGATCGTGACTTTCGAAAATATTAAATCGCTTTGTAAACGTTTATTATGACAATTTCATGAATCTCCCCATTCAGTTGAATAGACCGCTTGGACCCGGAAGCCGCTCCACGTGACGTCACACTTAACAAGCGGATAAGGTGTAGACCAGGGGTGTCCAAACTCGATCCTGGAAGGCTGGTGTCCTGTGTAGTGGTTTTCTGTTTTTCTCTTAATGAATCAAACTCAGTCTGAAGGTTATGAATATCAGAAGAATATACTTTATTGGAATATTTTACAAAAAAGCAGAGACAGCCTGGAGCAGACCCTTCTCAGTCTCTCCCCAGGACAAATCTAATGTCCCTCACATTTGTGTTTTCACTGCTGGTTCCTGGTTCAACAGGCCTCTCCCAGCTCCTACTTCTTTACGACCCCTATTTAAAGCCTCTTCTTTTTGATTGCCCTTGTAATGTAAAGATCTAATGTATTCATCACTGTTTTTACACATACAGTTCACATTTGGTAATCATGACTAGTATCTATGTTTCAAACATCTAAACTGCACTCCCATACAGTATGCGTCTTTTCAAATAAATATGACAGTTTCATGCTTTGCTGACACAGATGGTTCTCATTGTATCCCCAAGTCCTCTCTCGTGCTCTTTTATGACCCCTTTGCCTTAACCTGTCACCTGTTTTCAAAGACATATAATGGCAGATTCATAGGGCCCTCCACTCACCCAATGAAATATGTCTTCATGTAGGTTTAGTAAATAAATAATCTTTATCAACTGCTGATTTAGCTCCAACTTGCCTCAACACACCTTCAAGGATACTTCTAAAAAGCCTAGTAAGAGCTTGATTGGCTAGCCCAGGTGTGTCTGATTGGGGTTGGAACTAAACTTTGAAAGACACCGGCCCTCCAGGACCGAGTTTGGATATGCCTGGTGTAGACCCTTAAGAAAAAGAAGTTCATTTAATTACTCTATTCCTACATCTAGACTAAAAAATAAGAAGATATACTTGGTCTTGTTTTTTATGTGCTGCTAAATGTACTTTTGACCACTTAGTTCAGACTAAAATGTTCTATTAGCTCTATCCTGCTCGCATGTCATTCATCACCTCTTGCAATAAACTAATGCGCTACTTTCTGTCTTTTGTCTCTTGCAGTGACGATAATATTTGTTATTTTGCAAGATACTCACATTTCAGCTTAAAGGGGTTATTGATATTGAACTTGCAGATGTTTTTATTTATGTATTGTTTTTTATTGCAGCCAAGCTAAATGAAATTAGACTTTTCACTTCACAGATGTGAAAAATGGCATTGCTCTGTTAAGCAGCACTTCGAAAATATTTGAAAGAATTACAATATCACAGGACAGAAGGTATTATTTTGTCTTCTACCATATCTATTAAATTAAAGAAATAGTTGTACAGGTAAAGTCATTGAATGTTTACTTCACCCTCAAAAGGTTTCAAAACTTGGAGAGTCTTTATTCCATTAACCAATCATGAAGATATTTTGAAGAAGGTTGAAAGCTGTAACCACAGGCTTCCGTTGTAGAAAAAACAAAGGAAAGGCTTTATTTTGATGGTCCCTACTGCACATTTTGTTGAGTAAAAGTTCCATTGCAACTACATGTCAGTTAATTCTCATTTGAGTATTAGTAGACCATCTGCTTAATATCTGTTGATTCCGCTCCTTCAACAGACATTTAAGTGACTATAAGAAACAACTTACACTAACCCCAATATAACAGTCTACTACTGAGCAATTCCAGCGTTATGGATGTGACATTTGCAATATAACTCAAAGCATAAATTCACAGAGAAAGTATATGTTAACATTATATTGAAACATCTGTTATTGTTTTCCAAAACTACAAATCACAAAGTTATAGAAGCAGAAAAATATCAATCTGTAAACATTTTTTATACTTAAAATGAGGGAAATAAACATGCGTTACAGATTTGACCAAAAACGTTTGAAAGTTTACAGTTTACAACATACTTTGTAGAAATTCTGTGAACTAAACTGCGGGACCCAAAAGAAACAATGCTAATCAAAAGGAGAAGAGTTGGACCACTACAGAACAAACATAACTGCTTTTATTTTATTTGACATTTTTTGTATTTATGAGGGAAAAACATGGTTATCACTGTAAAAAAAAAAAATCTGTAATTTTACTGTTCATTTCTGGCAGCTGGGGTGCCCGTAAAATAACGGCCATTAAATTACAGAAATATACCGCCAAATAATGGCCATTAGATTATAGAAATATACCGTAAAAAAATAATGGCCATTCGATTACAGAAATATACTGTAAAATAACGGCCATTAAATTACAGAAATATACTGCCAAATAACGGCCATTAGATTACAGAAATATACCGTAAAATAACGGCCATTAGATTACAGATATATACTATAAAATAACGGCCATTAGATTACAGAAATATACCGTAAAATAACGGCCATTAGATTACAGAAATATACCGTAAAATAACGGCCATTATATTACAGAAATATACCATAAAACAATGGCCATTAGATTACAGAAATATACCGTAAAATAACGGCCATTATATTACAGAAATATACCATAAAACAATGGCCATTAGATTACAGAAATATACCGTAAAACAATGGCCATTAGATTACAGAAATATACTGCCAAATAACGGCCATTAGATTACAGAAATATACCGTAAAATAACGGCCATTAGATTACAGAAATATACTGTAAAATAACGGCCATTAAATTACAGAAATCTACTGCCAAATAACGGCCATTACAGAAATATACCGTAAAATAACGGCCATTAGATTACAGAAATATACCGTAAAATAATGGCCATTAGATTACAGAAATATACCGTAAAATAACGCCCATTATATTACAGAAATATACCATAAAACAATGGCCATTAGATTACAGAAATATACCGTAAAATAACGGCCATTAAATTACAGAAATATAACATAAAATAACGGCCATTAGACTACAGAAATATACCGTAAAATAGCAGCCATTAAATTACAGAAATATACCATAAAATAACGGCCATTAGATTACAGAAATATACTGTAAAATAACGACCATTAAATTACAGAAATATACTGTAAAATAATGACCATTAAATTACAGAAATATAATGTAAAATAATAGATATTAAATTACAGAAATATACCGTAAAATAATGGCCATTAGATTACAGAAATATACTGTAAAATAACGACCATTAAATTACAGAAATATAATGTAAAATAATAGATATTAAATTACAGAAATATACCGTAAAATAATGGCCATTAAATTACAGAAATATACCATAAAATAACAGCCATTAGATTACAGAAATATATCGTAAAATAGCAGCCATTAAATTACAGAAATAAACCATAAAATAACAGCCATTAAATTACAGAAATATACCATAAAATAACGGCCATTAAATTACAGAAATATACCATAAAATAATCTATATTAAATTACAGAAATATACCATAAAATAATGGATATTAAATTGCAGAAATATATTGTAAAATAACGGCCATTAGATTGCAGAAATATACTGTAAAATAACAACCATTAAATTACAGAAATATAATGTAAAATAATGGATATTAAATTACAGAAATATACCTAAAAATAATGGCCATTAATTACAGAAATATACCGTAAAATAACTGTCATTAGATTACAGAAATATAAGGTAAAATAACGGCCATTAGATTACAGAAATATACTGTAAAATAACGACCATTAAATTACAGAAATATACCATAAAATAACAGATAATAAATTACAGAAATTTCCTTGAATTTAAATTTCTGTTAAATTTCGGTTATTTAACAGCCATTATTTTACAGTAAATTTCAGCAATTTAACGGCCATTATTTTACTTTTTTTTCCCGGCACCCCAGCTGCCGGAAATCAACCGTAAAATTACAGATTTTTTTACAGTGTATGTGACGTCTCTCTGTTATGGATGTGACGAATGTAAAATTGCTATTTGTATGACTTTAGTAAATAAAGTATAATTGTTTGAAAACACTGACAGATACAATTTTGAGTATTTTTACAGTCCTGTAAATTACGAACCTAAAAAAAAAAAAAAAAAAAAAAACATAGAAAGCGTTTTGGTATTTTTGGTAAAAATGTAATTTCTTTCATGGCAAGGTTGACATTTGCATGGAATTGCTCTTATAATCTAATGAGAATTAGTTGGCATGTAGATGTAATGTAACTTAAATTAAGCAAAATGCATTAAAGGGACCATCAAAATAAAGTGATACCAAAACAAATACGATGGAAATCAAAGGTTTCCAGCTTTTTTTCAGAATGGAATATTTTATTGTCTTTGCACAGGTATAAGGAATGTGCAAACCCCAAGTTACAAACACTATGTGCAGAAATTGCAATATTTTAAATACAACAAACTTACCAAAGTTAATTTAACTGAACAAAAACACAAAGGGCCTGGACATGTCTGTCAAAACAATATTCTTTTGTGCTCCACAAAAAGTCAAAAAGGTTTAGATCATGCAAAGGATGCATAAATGCAGATAACGTTTTCGGTTTGGTTTCTGTGAGCTATCTGTTTAAGTAATTATTCCTATTCTCTAAATTGCCAAAAAGTCACATTTTAAAATGCTTTGCTTGTGAAATTGTTTGCAGATATGCAAATCGTCTACATTTGAAGTCAGTAAACTCAGCAGTCGACGCATTAATTATTGGCCTCTCCCATAAACAACGCCTATCATTTTCCTTATATAAACAAGCTGCCAGTGAAACCAGCTTTAGGATTTTTCCATCTGCAGGCAAGTCATGAACATGGGCATTACTCTTTAATGCAGTCAAGCCTTTTTCATGGAATTTCTGGAGCATAACTGCCTTTCCCACTTGAACACAAGCTGCTCTCTGGACTTTCATTTGAGTTATGTCAATGTATTTTTGTTCTTGTACATATCTGCGATCTCTGTTCTGACTGTGTGTGGAAATCTACTCGTCATCGTCTCTATAACAGTTTTCAAGCAGCTTCATACACCGACCAACCTCCTCATCCTCTCGCTGGCCATATCTGACCTGTTGGTGGGAATCTGTCTGATGCCGGTTGAAAGCATCAGAAGCATCAACTCCTGTTTTTACATGGGAAAGTCCCACTGTCATATATTTCATAGCATTATGTCCATTGTTGGCTCTGCTTCCCTTATGAACATCATGTTAGTGGCTATTGATCGTTATTTTGCAGTGTGTAATCCGCTTCTGTATATGTCCAAAATGACAATTAGAAAAGCTCTGATCTGTGTATGTTTAGGATGGACTGTGTCCATCTGTTATAATCTTGTACCAGTGAATTTGGGAAATTCAGACCCGACAGGAGCTGTTGTGGTCTGTTTAAGGGAATGTGCAGTGGCTGTCAGCAATTCATGGGGTCCCGCTGACTTAATAGTGAGCTTTATTGCTCCATGTATTATGATGTTAATTCTGTACACAAGAATTCTCACAGTGGCCTTAAAACAAGCCAAAGCCATTTCTAACATGACAAAGAAAAATGGATCTCAGCCATCCAGGAAATCAGAGGTAAAGGCAACCAAAACCTTGAGCACTATTGTCTTTGTGTATTTTATTTGCTGGATTCCCTGGTATGTCATTATGCTGAAGATGGAACAATTTAACAAGTTGCCTGTGAGCATTTCTGCTTTTTTATGTCTATTTTACACAAATTCATGCATCAATCCCTTTATATATGCAATATCGTATCCCTGGTTCAAAAGGTCAGTGAAACTTGTGGTTAGCCTAAGAATACTGCAGACAGCAACTAACCAGTTGAACTTATTTGCTGAAGACTGTTAATATGGAATACTTAATAATACTAAATGTTAACGGTTTTGATTATCTTCTTTGGCCTATAAATCTCTTGCCTAAATTACATGTTTAGCATGATGCAAAAAACATTGACGTGAAACTGAATCAATAAACTAGAATGTGTAGACCCTTCGTACACTTAAACAAAAAAAGGAAGTATACTTTCAGTCTTTTTATGTACTACAACACTAAAACTGCTAGTTAACTACACTAGTAATTAACAGTTTTATTGATTCTCAGGCAGGTTTCAGCATGGAATACAGAATACAACTCTGAAAAGAATCAACATTTTGTTTTTTTGTTTTTGCCCTATTATTGACCCACCCCAAACTAATCCCCAACTACTACTTTAAGGTTCTGGCTTGGCTAATAGTAAATATAATTAAGGCCTCTATCTTATATAATGAAGAAAACATTTAAATAAAATACAATAAAAATTAAATGAAACAAATGAATGGGTAAGTTTAATCAATAACATATCAAATTTAAACTGTTGACATCAGAATATTTCTCATACATTTATTACTGTTCCATTTCCAAACAGTTTAAGTACGTGGACCATTTTTTAAAGTATAGGTTTAGCTTGTCCATTTGCTTATGAGACATTTTTTCAAATGCGGCCACTCTAGCAAGCTCTACTGCCCATTCTTGGAAGGAAGGGGCCTCCTCTGATTTCCAGCTCCTAAGAATTATTTGTCTGCCAATCAGTAAACTGGTTTGGACCCAAAATTTTATGTTTTGCTAGTTAACTACACTAAGAATGATTGCATTATTTTGTCTGTGTGTGTTTGTGTGTGTCTGCGTATTGTGCAGTTGTAAAAGTTAATTTGTTGCCCAAATTCTGAGCATGGGACAAAGTTCACGAACTAATTATTTACCACAAGTATTACGACTAGTTGTGCACGTAAAGTCAACTACTGCCACAGTCATACTACACTTAAATATATTTCATATACAAAAAGCTGACAAGTTCATATATTCACATAGTAGCTCATTCATTCATTTTTACAGTGGAATGAACCGCCAACTTACCCAGGATACGTTTTACTCAACATATGCCCATCCAGCTGCAACCCAGTACTGGGAAATATCCATACACACTCATTTACACAGATACACTACAGTCAATTTAAATGGCAACAGGGGGAGAACATGCAAACTCCACACAGATATGTCAACTGACCCAGCCGGGTCTCAAACCAGTGACCGTCTTGCAGCGAATCGACAGTGATAACCACTGAGCCAACGTGTCACCCAGTTTTAGGACAATTTGATTAAAGTTTTTGATCCATTTTAAATGTTGACTACTGTATACCTAAAATGCACATATTCCAAGTATACTTGGTTTGTAGTTGACTTTACTCCTTTAATTGAGTGGCCTATTAAATATTTCTCTCACATAATATTGCATTTTTCACAAGTTTCTGAGATAAAGCTCAGGGCTAACTTTCAGTAACTCGCAGCGACAGATCTTAAAGTACATCCATGTCATTGGAGTTTCTGTATTTGTTTATTTTTATTAAAAGCTGCTTAAATGCCCTAATTTAACAAAGGCCTATCTTATTCATTCATTCATTCATTTTCTTGTCGGCTTAGTCCCTTTATTAAGCCGGGGTCGCCACAGCGGAATGAACCGCCAACTTATCCAGCAAGTTTTTACACAGCAGATGCCCTTCCAGCCACAACCCATCTCTGGGAAACATCCACACACACACATTCACACACACACTACGGACAATTTAGCCAAACCAATTCACCTGTACTGCATGTCTTTGGACTGTGGGGGAAAGCGGAGCACCCGGAGGAAACACACGCGAACGCAGGGAGAACATGAGAACATGCAAACTCCACACAGAAACGCCAACTGAGCCGAGGCTCAAACCAGCGACCCAGAGACCTTCTTGCTGTGAGGCGACAGCACTACCTACTGCGCCACTGCTTCGCAGGCCTACCTTAGTGAAAAACAAATATGCCAAGTATTCTTGCAGATAGACTAATTGTCAGTATAGAGCTTAGGGAACATGTCATAAGCATCGCTATGCATTATGGGTGTTTAGGACAAGGGAGCCTGATTCCAATTGATATCTATTAATTATTTGTATCACATACACACTCATCAGCAAAAAAACTGTAAGTGTTTGTACTAAATTTAATGAAGGAAATCAAACATGGAGATGTTTTCTTGCTCACTGATGCCCTTTTAGTTAGTTATGGATAAACTCATTGATTTATTTGATCCGCTTTGGATGCACCCCCTCTGTACAGTATCTCTGATCGGCTTCTCCAGTTACACTTCACCACTGGACACAGAATGTTATGGAATGCATATTTTCAGCTTCTCAGGGCGTACTCACACTATGCTATCCGAACCGTGCCCAGGCCCGTTTCCCGGATCGTTTGAGAAGTGTGAGTGCACTGAATCGGGCTCAGGCACAGTTGACTTGGCCGACCCTGGCCCGGTTGGAAGAGGTGTGCTTGAGCCAGATTCACTTGGGCTTTGGTGCGTAACGCTTGTAGTGTGAGTGCAAAACGTGCCAAAGCCCGAAACTGAAAGCGAGACGTGACTTTTAGGGGACTTTCATATGGATTTATTAATCAATCTTACTGTTTAGTGAACGCAAACTGCCGTAGTTTATTAAATACGCAAACTCCCCACAGCATGACAGCTGTGCACCTTCAGCAAACCTCATAATTCCTGCAGTGCGAGGGCTTTTTGATTGTTTATGAGCGCCAAAAGTGGCGGTTCGGCGAAAATCTGTTCGGCGAAATATCTGACTGCGTGTCACCGCATCCCTAAGGACTGTTTGGCGAAATATTTGACTGCATGTCACTGCATATCAAACGACGGAAACGATATAGCTAGAGAAGTCTCCACTGTGCTGAGCGAGAGCGCTTACTGAACAGCGCAGCAGCGATGACGTAAGTGTGCCCAGGCCCGATTGTAGTGTGAGTGCGGGCCGTCGGGGGAGACGGGAGGGGGGACAAGCGTGCTATGGCCCGGTTCGAGGCAACTGTACATAGTGCGAGTACGGCCTCAGACACACAAAGAGCGTTTATGAAGGTATATACATGATAGAGAATTTTATTTTTAGTGCTTGTGAGATGTTTTTTTTTTTATATATTACTATATATTACTATATATTACTAGATATTAGAAGATATTATTGTTGTTGTTTTTTTTCTGTGAAGCTAAGCAGGGCTGAGCCTGGCCAGTACCTGGATGGGAGACCACATGGGAACACTAGGTTGCTGTTGGAAGTGGTGTTAGTGAGGCCAGCAGGGGGTGCTGCCTAATGCCCCAGTATGAGTGAAGGGGACACTATACTGTCAGTGGGTGCCGTTTTTCGCATGAGACGTTAAACTGAGGTCCTGACCCTATGTGGTCATTAAAAATCCAATGGCACATGGCAAGAGTAGGGTATAACCCTGGTGTCCTGGCTAAAGTCCCTCAATCGGCCCTTACAATCATGGCCTCCCAATCATCCCCATCCACCGAATTGGCTCTATCACTGTCTCTCCACTCCACCAACAGCTGGTGTGTGGCGAGCGCACTGGCCCCATTGTCTTGTGGCTGCTGTCGCATCATCCAAGTGGATGCTGCACACTGGTGGTGGTGTGGAGAGACCCCCCTCATGATTGTGAAGCACTTTGGGTGTATGGCCATACAAGATAAATACGCTTTATAAATACACACATTACATTACATTACAGTACATTACAAATTTTTTGATGGTTAGTTAATTTTGCTAACAAATTTTACTTTTAAAAGAACTAATTTTGTGCAAGGTATATTTTAACTGTAGTTAAATTATAGTAATTCTCAACATTTATGAATTGAGTGTTTTTTGTATACTTTAAGTAAACTTGCACATAGCCTACAACACTAAAACTAAAATTTAACAAAGAGTACGCTAAGAGCGATTGCATTATTTTGTGTGTGTGTGTGTGTGTGTGTGTGTGTGTGTGTGTGTAGTTGTAGTTAATTCGAAGCCCAAATTCTGAGCTTGGGGCAAACTAACCATTTACTACAAGCATTATGACTAGTTGTACACTTAAAGTGTACTGTTACACTTATACTACACTAAAAGCTGGCCAATTTAGTTCTATGATATATTCAAGTATTACAAGTAGCTCATACCAAGCGTTCCCAAACTATTCAGCTAGTGAGCCCCAAAATAACAATTCCAGTGACTCGCAACCCAAACAGTACAACATACAAACAGTGCACATAAAAAATAAATAATTAAATATATATATATATATATATATATATATATATATATATATATATATATATATATATATATATATATATATATATATATATATATATATATATATATATATATATATATATATATATATATATATATATATATATATATATATATATATATATATATATATATATATATATATATATATATATATATATATATATATATATATATATATATATATATATATATATATATATATATATATATATATATATATATATATATATATATATATATATATATATATATATATAATATATATATATATATATATATATATATATATATATATAT